AATTTGTAAGAGAAAAATATGTGGAAATAAATGAAGGATTTGTTATAGAAAAACCATCTTTAACAATGTAGAACTCAAAGCTCCTTCATCCTCTGATCTATTCTTCAAGGACAGCAGAGTATATGCATAAATTTTATTATGTTTTTCGTATGTTTTATGCCTTATAAACCGGTATGTGAATAACCGGTATACTCTTCTCCATACACAAAATCAAAGATGTTAAGGGCTCTCTTAAAAGAGTCTTAGATCAAAGTCAAAATCCCAACAGAAACATTAATATATGACCTAGCGAATGGTGTACTTTTTGTCCTAATTTTTTTAACAAGAATGAATTTAAGAAGACAAGATTATATTATAGTCATTTGTTTGTTTTTTGATTCTTAAAAAATAATTCTGCTCTATGTTAACGAATCACAAAATTCCAGTTGAAATCAAAGATACACTCTTTATGTACAAGTCTTGATTCATTAATAGAAAAGTTCTCATTAGCTGGACATATTATCAGGAAGTTACCTGGATAAATCTCCCAAAACCATGGCCTAGAGGAGATCCATGATAGAGAGCCATAGTTGCACCAGTTAGAAAGCATGAATACACTAAAATTGGCCCCATAACCCAGCCTAAATTTGTTGGCCAACAAACAACGTCTCCAGGTTGAACATCAGTATGTAGCCACGAATCAGCAGCACATCGGATTGGAGAAAGTTGAGTCCATGGAATAGCTTTTGGATCTCCTGATGACGGGTGGAAAAAGCATTCATTGGATTATATAACTTGTCAGAGACAAAGTAACATAGTGTATTTGGTTTAAGCAAAAATGTCACCAACCTGTGGTTCCAGATGAAAATAATATACTGGTGACAGAGTCTATGGGTTGATAAACTGGTGAATAATAATTTGATCTGACAAAAGAGAAATATGTTAGAACTGATGTCAATAGTAAAGAAAGAAACAATTTATTACTGTTTAGCCTGTTGAAGACTATGCTTTTTTACTTGAGATGGAAATTCTTCCCTAGACTACTATCTTCATATTACCTGGATAGGTGGTGGAAACTCGAAAGAAAAGCTTTCCACGACAAGTCCTGACTTCTTAAACGAACATCTAAATCTTCTCCAGTTGCAGGAATTACTATAACTTTATGCGGATCAGCTTCTACCACTCGGCTGCAAGAAAAAAGGAATAAAATTTGTTCACATTAATTGGACATATACTAGGATGTCTGAGTTCTAAAATGTGTATTAACGTGCTTATGAAAGAAGAGCATTTTGTCATGACTCGCATTATTTAGAGCACCATTTAACCGAAAATCTTAGAGCATGTTTGACTAAGCTTAAAATCCAATTAAATTGAAAATATAACCGTTACTGAGTCTCACTCATCTAATAAAATTCAATAATAACGGCTAGTTTTTCAATTTTAATCCGATTTTAATTTCTATCGAACACGCCGTTAATAATCGTGAGAGAGTAACTGTATCACATTCTTTGTAGAGCAACTTGGTCAAATTACCGATGCCTTTGAAAAACACTTTGTCAATAAATAGTTTTCCAAGTTCATATCTACCTTTTGTTTATATGTTTTGGTAGATTTTCCCTTTTCTCCTGTTTTGAGTTTGAGAATAAGGATAAAGTAGAAGATTCAAGCGGGGTGGGGTGGGAAGCTAGAATTGGTTCTTTGGAAATAAAATCTTATGAGTTCCATTTTCAAAAGAGATATATCGAATCGACAACAAAAGATGCTGAAGTCATTGAGATAAAATGTGATTTCATGCATTATCAGCAAATCGATAAAATTTTGTGAGATCCATTCAAAAGGTGATTATTACCTGTATAAAGGAAACCTTCGTCCTCCTCGTACCATAAAATCCTGAACTTCCATGAAATTAGAATGATTTCCGAATTACAAACAGCTCTAACAAGCTAAAGTCTTGTTATGTTTGGAACAAGGGCGAGGGGAAGAAGGTTGCAGTCTGCAGAGTCCTTCCTCCAGCGTAATGATAGCTCATCTCGACAAAAGTTATTTAGTTGGAAAGATTGGTTCACTTGTAGTTTTACCAGCATAATGTTAGTTGACGACAGGGAGTTTTATATGTTATTACAAGGAAATCAATGTTAAACAGAATTCAAATTTGAAATGCTTACCTGACGTTCATTTTATCCCAAGTGCAGAAGGCAGAAACTAAGAGCTAGCATGAGCATTATAGCTTCTCTTGATCAGCCCTCTGCCTCTTGATTAAGAAAAGCAAGAATGCACAGGAAGGTAGGGATGGAGGGAGCAGGAGATAGGAGGAAAGTCCAAAGGGAGTAACAAAATGGTTTGGAGAAAGTACATTGCAAAGACAATTCTCAAACTACTGACTATTTCAAATTCCTCGAAAACTAACAGTTCATGTGAAAAAATTAGGTAAATACTAAGTAAAAGATAACAAATCATTTTTCTAGCTAAGACTGTTAAAATAATATTTGTTAGTGAGATGTGGAAGATTTGAAAATAACATGACAATTACATGAGACTTTGCATGTAATGAGTATGGTATTATCAGGTTAATTCTTTTCAAGTTAGGTTTTCCAATTTTACCCATGCTTAGAGGTTATTAAGCTGAAATCTTGTCAAAATTTAAAGACAATGGAGGAGATTCTTTCCCCACTAAAAGACGAGCAATATCTACCAAAGTATAAAAAACAGAAATAAAATGACACTACCACACAACATGCAAAGTTGGGAAAAGAGAAATATAGTATCTAGAGGAACAAAGCTCAAAACAACATACAATCAACAGAAATTTTTTCTTCTTCATCAATTTAAGGGGATGTAACCATAAAGCATAAAGCAGTCATCATGCATACTTAAATCCCATGCATAACTTGTAGGGAACTCTCTCAACTCTAGCATATAATTATCAGGATGATTTTTGTAAGCACCTGTGTAAAAATTGCTTTAGCCTTTGAGATGCGCAAGCGAGTTGCAATTTCCTTTGCTGCAAAGCTGTCAGCAATTGACACAACAATAAATCCTGCAAGCACTATTGCCAAGTATAAAATAACTGCAGTGACTGTCATTGGCATGTCAATAGCAATAGCGTCTCCCTTGGAGAATGTTGCATCCAGTGCATTTGCTACCAACCTTAAAAAAGGAGAAATAATTTCACCACAAGGATGGAGAGGAAAAAATTGGAAGCAATGGCGTGCACTGAAATATGATGATAGAATGAATGCAATTAATGTGTGCACTCAAGTGAAGATTAGTTAGCACATGCTTTCATATGTCTGTCTGATATGGCATCAGTCATGACCTTCCAAAACATCGATCAAGAGGAAGTAAAAATATGGAAAGATGTCCATTTCTAGATCACCATGAATGCTAGGTATTGAGGAATACAATTATGTGTCCAACTCTTATTGTTCAAAGACATCATTGGGAAATACCCAACGCAATGCACTTAGGGGGCCTGGACTCCTTCAGTTCAGTGTTCAATTTGAGAATATTTGACCAGTACATATGGGAATTGTTTGAACTATTAAGTTGAGAAGCAGGAAAAGAAGGTACATTGGGGATTGAGGCCAGGAGAAGGGGTGGAGAATAGTAGAAGGCAGACTAAACTAAGAGCTCATTTACTAAGCTTATCACTCTCGTATGCATACACTTAAACTCTTGATTGCAACAGTTCATCAATTTTTAAATTTGTTTGTTTTCACGAAGTAAACTACTTTAATTTCGTTCAAGTTAAGGAACGATGGCTGTGTCCCTACAGATAAAAGTAAACGAGGAAGATCAAGTCAGATTGCTGGAAGCATACATTACTTGTTCCCGGAGCTGCTTCAATGTCATGAATTCCACATCACTGTCATCACAGCCTTCATCCCTCCATACAATTGCTATGCTATCATCCTGCTTCTTCAAATAATTGTTTGGTTGCAGACAACAATCAGCTATATTTAAAGTTGAACCAGGAAGCCATGTTCCCCCACGTTTGGATTTGTTTGAGGTATCCAGTATACGTTTTGGTTTCACGATAAAGTTAACTGAAAGCTCATTCAGAATAATGGACCAGTATTCCTGAAATGTTTGCGAAGATGTTGTTGAAATGAAAACACAAAACCATATTTTATAATTAGGAATGAGGATTGCAGACAGTGAAGGGCTTGCCTCAGGATGATGAACAGAGAACTTCTGAAACTCTCTGAAACTTGTTATCGGATCCTTGTATAGTGCCCCTAAAAGCCTTGGACAATGAGATTCCATGATGCGCCCCAAGTTTGTGCATCTAGACTGATATCTGATACTCAAAAGCGCATTGTAAATCATGATTGTGAGACGTTGATAAAGAGTGGAGTTCAACAAACTTGACATTATGATACTTGGATACTATCAAATAAAGTCAGGAAAAGTAAATTAAAGACAATATCATGCTAACATTAAGGTCAGAGGACCATTTGGCAACTTCAATTAGATTTGAATTCAGGATCTCTCATGAAATAGTAATACCTACAGTACTTCCAATAAATCAAGTTACTATAGCATTTGTTTAACCTTTTTTGCACCTCATAAGATCCTTATCCCCATCTCGTTTTCTTCTTAAGCCGTGTGCAACTACATTTTTATTGAATCTTCTAAAAACATAACTATTTATATTTTTAAATATGCCGAGACATAATTATTTACTGTTTCTTAATTTATGCCTATTGCCATTATTGTTGTTTGTTGTTGTTATACTAATATCAAATGTAGTGTGCACCTAGCATATATGGGACCTACTTAAGGTGACTAAGCAAATGATTAACTCCACCAGACAGTGTCAAGCCCAACCAAATTCTTGACCTAAGTTCACCAAGCTGGCCTAACCACATTGAGTTCATAGGGCAAGTCCTCAGTACTATGTCAGAACTGGGTGTCGACCAAATTCACGACTCTCAAATTATTCTTTTCCCATATGAAATGTAAAGAAATTCAGGGATGCTGCAAGGTTGGCTACTTGGTCGCAGTTGCGAAAAATACCAAAAAGGGTGCCAGTGACGTGTTTGTGATAGACTTGAGTCACATACTCTTGCCACAAGAAATGAAGATAGCAAGACTTGTGAGCATAGCACACGAAAATACTAGTGACAAGGACAAGTCATCTACCCATGCGAGACAAAGAGAATGTCACCAACTTCTCACACTCATTCCACTATAATATAAAAGTTCAAAACGCAGTGCAAAGTTAGCTTTTACAAATCCTCAGCCAAAAGTCTATCCATTTAATTTCTCATATACAAGGCCGACTAATTTAACATCAAATATTTTTGTCAATGAACTCCCTCTTCAATCCAGCAGGAAGAAGTTTGACATCTCTATAGGTTGCATGCACTGGAGTATATTCAACAGTGTTTGGCTCATTCTTGACTGAAAGGTTCAGCTACATTTCGACATTAACAGATGTCATAGAAATTTCTTATGAATCATTTCTCTAATTCTCAAATCATTTTAACGTACCAGAGAAATAAAAAGCAATTTGCTACCACCAAAATGTACAATATTAAGCGCCTGTTCGGTTTAATCTAAAAATCAAAATTTTAGTAGATTTTGATAAAAGTAGATGAAATATATAATAGAAAAGTTGATAAAAGTTGTCGGTGATCTTATCAAATGTGAATTGAAAATGAGTTTCAGAAAAAAATGAATTTTAGAAAAAAAGGGGACCAAGCAAGGGCTAAGTTAATTAGGTGGAAATCGTCTTCAAAAGCGTTACTTTTAGTTCCATGCTAACACTAAAGTTGAATAATGCTACTCAATATCATCTTCGATTTAGCTTCAGAAAATGTTTTTATAGATCAACTCAACCTTAGCTCATTTGTAGTATACGCTCCTAAACCCAACAGAAATATGTGGAGTTAGCAAAATGCAGCTCCCTTATACCATCCCTAAATTTAATCATTGATTAGTTATGTAAGAATCTCGATAATTACACTTATGGTTCCCATATCAACGAGAACCAATTATGATAAGTAAAAATGCATCACCTTGTTAATAGTTTTTAACTCAATATTGATGAATCGAGACAGAAAAATCCAGTCTTCCTTCATAAAAAACTCGCCAATACAAACGAGGTTAGGTGAAATTAGAGGTCAACAGTCAGTTACATAAAAAATAACAAGCGAGCGCGCTAGTGAGTGACTTACGGAGTAGGGAACCAATACAGAGGAGGGCCATGAATGGACTCATCGTAGTTATGGTAGACGGAATGGTAAATAAGCTGGTGCAGGCCATGTGGATGCGATGGTTTCAGCAATTTCCGAGCCATGACCTCTCGCCACAATGCCTTTGGGTCAAATCCATCACAACCATTAATTGCATATTTGAGTTCTCTTTCAAAATCTATGGCCTCATCAATTGCCACACCGGCTCTCACCAAGTCTTCAACTCCCAGTTCACTTACGCTCTTCCCCATTCCCATCTCTCGCTCTCGCTCTCGCTCTGGTTGTATGTATATGTATGTAACAGGGAAGTAGTGTTGATTGGTAGTTTGAGACGTGTTATGGACAAATTCACAACGTCATACAGTATGGCCCAACTGCTATTTATGCTGTTCTTTTGAAGGAGCGGTTGGGATTGAAACAGACTTTTTCCTCATATTTACCACTATTATTTTGTAAGGTCTCTTTGGAAGAGTCGAATAAGTTAGGTAGGTAAGTCACAAAATTCTTGACATATAGATGTCAATTTACCCATTTTAAATAATATTTTAAAAAACGTAAAGGTAGCTAGATGATGAGGTCAAGCTTCAAGCTTTTACGAATCTAGACGAACTTTAAACCTAGATGAACTTTTTAAAATAATTAAGTGCACCAAGTCCAGCTTATAAATGAATTTAACAATTACGTAATGCATTGACTATGTCGAATAATTTGTATCACTTCAATTTGTTGGATTTTGATATCCAATAAATTCTGGTTATGATGTTTAAACGTTTGGTTTAATTTTATAGACTTCAATCGATGGATGAAATGTTTATCTAACACTACAAT